GCGTATCAGCATACTAATATTTATATTTTTAATTGTACATTTAATACATTTTAGATGCATATATCTAAAAATGTAAGAGCTGGGTTCTATAATTGTTGGTTGAGGGTTTGATCTTTTCTGTCAGACAGAATTCTGAGAGCTAACCACAAAATTGTTGCTTAAGAACGCTTTATGAATAAGGGTTTGTAAAAATTTCATGTGGGAACATACTACATGTTGACTAGAAACTAACAGATATGATAGCAAATGATTTTTAAAGAACAAACTATAGCAAAGACAACTATACATAACAGCCAAAGACTAAATAACAAAGGGTCTAAAATCTCCAGCTGGTCCATTAGGATCAGAAAGCTTATGTTTTCTAAATTCTGAAGAATATTGATGTGTCTGTCTAATCAAACCCATGTTATCATAACTGCTTCTTTCCTTTTGAATAAGAAAACAGCTTGGTAAGGGAGAGATTGCCTACAAGTGATTAAGGTGATTAAATGGTTAGTTTTAAAAGCTTTAATTATCTGATGACCTTGTTTATGAGCAATGAGAGGGCCCTTCTTAAGAAGAAAATTAGGCACACTGGGACTTAATTGGGACTGAGGTTGCAGTCAGATGCATATTGATTGAGGAGTAGATCTACTAAAACGGACCTCCTTCCAAATAAACATGTTTTACCAAGCCTATTTGACATTTTCTGGTCTGCACTCTTTAGAGCAGGGGTCCCCAACCTTGGCAACTTTAAGACCTGTGGATTTCAACTCCCAGAATTCTGGGAGTTGAAGTCCACAAGTCTTAAAGTTGCCAAGGTTGGGGACCCCTTCTTTAGTCTGCACCTAGGTTTTTCTTCTACACCTTCAATCTCATCAAATGTTTCCAGCCAGTTCAAAGGCTGTATCAACACCAGGCTTAGGCAATAAGCCAGTCACCCAAAGGATCAACACTTGATCTAAAAACAGGGGACCCTGCTAGGAAGAAAAAGTTCAAAGACTGTATAAGTACTGTGATGATGCAAGTTGATACACCCATCACAAAAGAAACTTCTTAGAATAAATTTTTGTCTGTAATATGAGAATTTTGCATGTGCTCCAAATAGTCGGAAGACTTGGAAATTTGGAGAATAAATTATATGCTTAATCCCTGATTCCTTGTCATGCTTATTAAAAGATTTGAGCAAAAGGGTTTGCATTTTTCTTTAAGAGAAACCAGTCAGCAAAGAATTTCAGGAAAGAAGCTACCTTCAAATTTGAAGAGCTGCTATTGGCCACAGCAGGGAGAGCATACTATACTATGCTGAAAATAAGTTTATCCACATTTTTAAATAAATATGCAATGAGAAGGAAAAGGCACTGCTACTATTGAAATGCATGCAGGACATGGAAATGCCACCCATGGCAAATGTGATTAGCCACCTTTTGTTTTTGTTTTAACCTGAAGTTAGTTTATTCCCAAATTTCTCCTTACAATTATCTGCTATAAAATCTGATGTTGCATTGAGAATGCACAAGCTGTAGTCAGAGAACTGTCTGTTGCTCCTCTAAAAGCATCCGTCAAAAACTCACAAAGCTTTCTAAAAGTGGCTACAGATTGATAACTTCAATGCAAAAGAAGGAAATGACTAAATGTATGGGATTATTCATAGTAATGGAATGCAATTAATGCATATAATGTTTCACTAAATTACAATTGCATTAAGTTAAATTTGGATATTGCCTGATCCTACCATCCCACGCTCAGTACATAAGCCCAAAAAGCTTATGTGGTCTAAAAGGTCCAAAATTAAAAATAATTCAAAATTAAAAATAATAATTGTATATTTCAGTGTGGTTGAAAAGAATAAATATTAGAAAATATTTGTTTGAATGAACATGCTTCTGACTAAAAAAAATTCTTTAATAAACACGGTTCTTTATCTCCTTGAGACCATATTGAAGAGACCATTTTATTTAATACTTTGAATGGCTTCTCATTGATTTCCTTAATTCATGGCAATAATTGGGTTCTTTGCAATTAAAAGAGTGCAATCAAATCTATTTAGGACTGATGACTATAGGTCCACTTTTGTTTCAAGGGATTTAACTATATGATACTTTGCTCTCAAGTATCTGATTGATACTTTGCTCTCAAGTAACTCGGATTGATCAGTACAACCCAGATGGCATGTCTTCCCATTAGTAAATATGGGTTATGGAAGCTTTCCTACACAAATGTTGAAAGAGGGAGAAGAAAGTAAGCATGCACAAACACCAATATACTTTAGCTTTGTACTCTTCCCATCCATGTCAGATTGTTTCAATTAAGCAATAGGCAGGTACAAAGATGAGTCAAGAGGTAGGCGGAACTAAGACAAATAGTAAACCAGGATAACTTGCCTACCATTGCTCAGACAAATCCCCAATTGTTAAATGGACAGCTTGTAGAAAACTCTGAAGATTCTTGATTCTGTCTTCAAGATAGAATAGGATAACTTTTTTATAGGATAACTTTTCAATATATTATTTTTTTATTTTATCCCACCTTGATTTTTGGTCAGCTGAAGGTGGCATATATATTTGATGCTTCCATCTATTTTCCCTGCAACAATAACTCTCTGAGGGAGATTGGGCTAAGAAAGGAATAGAAGTCCCCATTTCTCAGTTTCTAGCCCAGCACTTTAACTGTTCCATCAAACTAGTTTTCATTCGTTATGCCACTGACTGGCTGTCCCCTGGTTGGATGGTATATATACATAGCATTGGAATCAATCAGCTTACTACATATAGTTCCTATGGTCATAGTACATTTCTATTTCCCAATCTCTCACAAAATTGTTTGAAATAGATATGTATTCTTTTTTACTTCTGCAGACTTCAAAACACTCTTGAGCTGATCAATACCCCTCCCCCAGTCAACCGTTGATGTATGAAAACTATTATTCAATTGGTGCCCTAGATCAAATTTCTTATTCTCCTATATAAAAGAAGCAACCTCCCTACAAAGAAAGGAAAGACTCTCTCTGTTCTACATCCCATAGTTTTATTTCATGCCGTGTGAATTTGTCAGGTGATATGAAAAAAAAAATCTGAGGATTTACAAGGAGGTGACACTGTTGCATTTTAAAACCCCATAAAATAAAAGACAGATTAGGGATAGATCATTATGGAGAAGATCTATCTATGTGGTCACTAAGAGTTAACAACAACTTAGTGGCATATAATCATACTAAATTAGTAACATGTCTTTTGGATGCTATGACACCTGAACCTCCATGGGGAAGGAAGGAAGGAAGCAATGGTTGGATTGAGTCCAGGAAGCAGGAGATACAGTAAATCAAGAGATCCATCAGTAGAAGATCATCCTGCATGTGCATTTTGGGTGCATTACAGTTCCAGATACACCGTAGCTGATGCAGAAAGAAATCAATTTCTAAACATAGTTAAAGTATGCAGATATCCAGAACTGATTGAGTACTGATAAAGTGACTGTGGAAATGTCCTAAATTAGCTGGCATGACAAGAATTATTTTCAATCCTATCAATAAAAAGACAATAAATGAATAGTTAGCAATCAGACGCCTTTCCATAATATTAAAATACTAGCTGACTCATCATTCAAGCCCACTTCAAAATGAGGGACTGTCTCTTGTCTCATACTGCATTTTAAAATGCTGAAAATGATGCAATTGATTTAAACAAAATTTAATTATCTGAAAGTCTATATAACCCAAGTCAATCCAATTCACAATGCATTTTGAATCTAATGTAGTCTGGAATCATCTCTGAAATAAGAATTACAAAAGTTGTCCCTCCCTTACATATTCTGATTTTTATATAGCATTAACTGAAGTATTATACTATACCAAAAATATCTAATGTTTTGATTATCCGAAATGCAAGGTTAAAATTACTTATTCTATAAATTAAAGTTAAGTAGCAATATTATGGATAAAGGTAAGTAGCAATATTATGGATAGTTCTTAGGATATATTTAATTACTATAAGCCACAGTCAAGCTACAGCTAGTCCATCATTAACCAGTAGTGCTGTATGCACTAGTGTTACTCCATGTGCCTGCCTTTCACACACAATATACCTTCTCCAGGATTTTTACCTGAAAGATGAGAATCTTTATTGTCAAAATAAAGCATCCAAAGATATTATCTGCAAAAAGATAATATTTTGTTTCACCATCACTGAAAAGTATTATTATGATGATGGTGGTTGGTCACACAGCCAGCCAGATGTTTAGACTGGCTTTGGCATTTTTATCCACCTATCAAGTCTTTCCCAAAGACCTAAGGTAGATAAATGTTATTGTTTGATGGTACTAAATGTATCATTGCAAGACAGAACTTAAACATAAAACAATAAGGTTGGAAGGGATCTTAGAGATCTAACCCAACCCCCTGCTCAAGCAGGAAACTTATACCATTCCAGACAAATTGCTGACCAATCTCTTCTTGAAAACCTCCAGTGATGTAAGCTGTAAGCTGTTCCAAGTAAAGCTGCATTTTGCAGTTTACTGATCATAATTTTGTCAATGCTGCTGATGTTCAAGTTATGCTCCAGATATTTTGGATCAATTACTATTGATACTATTTTTTCTTTCATTTGCCATAATTGTTCTTTTTGCAAGTCTTTCCATTTTGTTTTTTTTCTCTAGTTCTTTCTCTTTTGTTCTTCTCTCTCCAGGTTCTGCCATGTTCACTATTCAGACTTTTTTGTCTTTTTTATCAACAATTGTTAAGTCTGGGGTCTTATGTGAAGGAGCTTGTCTGTTTAAATTCTAAATCGCCAAAGTACTTAAGTTTGTTCATTTTCTTTTACTTTGTCTATTTTGTGGTCCCACTAGTTTTTACTTGTAGGTAAATGGTATTTCTTGCAGATATTCCAATGCAGCATTGTTGCTATATTGTCATGCCATTGTTTATGGTTACTTTTTGTTCCACTGTGTTATTCTGATGGCACTGTTATTTTTACTATCATTTGGTAATAATTGTTCTTTTTTTTACATCTTTTCAGATCTGAGCAATGATGAAGACTATGTCCAGTGGGAACTGTACCTTGAATGTGCCAGCCAAGAATTCCTACCGGATGGTTGTATTGGGAGCCTCCAGGGTGGGCAAGAGTTCCATTGTTTCTCGGTTTCTCAATGGCCGCTTTGATGACCAATACACACCCACCATTGAAGATTTCCATCGCAAAGTTTACAACATTCGAGGTGACATGTATCAACTGGACATCTTGGATACATCTGGGAATCATCCATTCCCTGCCATGAGGAGGCTCTCCATTCTCACAGGTTAGAAACATACATGTGAGGCTTAACAGTGGCAAGTTAAGTTTGCCATAGTCAGAGCTGATCACTTTTTGGGAGAAGAAGCAGGCTGAGGATGCTTGGGAAAATTGCCCCATGTTAACTCTAAATCCTGTCTTTAAGAGGCAACCACCAATTTCCCAAAGACTAAGTCAGATGCTTTTGGACAACAAGACTTTGGTTTTCTTGGACAAACAAACTCTTGTGGCACGGCAAGCTGCTCTGAAAACGCAAATATATTTCAAAAGCAGCATGTGAGATAACATGAATGTCTATTGTTCAAAGAGGACAAAATCATCTTTGGCTGTATGGACTTTTTTCATTGACAGCCATTGATTCTTTGATATTTATATAGAAATAGTCATCAACTCATGACTACAGTTGAGCCCAAAATTTGCATTGCTCAGCCAGACAGTTGTTAAGTGACATTTAATAACCTTTTTTGCCACAGCTGTTAAGTGAATCACTGCAGTTGTTAAGTTAGTAACATGGTTGTTAAGTGAATCTGGCTTTCTCGTTGACTTTGCTTGTCAGAAATTTGCAAAAGGTGATCACATGACCCTGGGACACTGCAGCCATCATAAATGCATGCCAAATGTCAAAATTTTGATCATGTGACCATGGGAATGATTCGATAGTAATGTATGAAAAACAATCATAAATCACTTTTTCAGTTCCATTAAAATTTTGGATAGTCTCTAAACAAATGATTTTAAGTAAAAAAAACTGTTTGTTAGGATTGGCTGAAAATAGACATACATAATCAATTGAGACCAACTGACTCAACCTTTCATTTTATATAAGTGGATCACACATCAACTACAGTATTTCCTTTTTCAGGCTTATCTGCATTAATTATTACATGAAGCATTGTGACTGGACAATACTATGCATCATCGTTTTTTTATAGAACATATAAAACAGCAACCACAGTCAGATAGTTTGCTGTTAGAATTTAGGAAATTTAAATGTCAAGCAATAGCAAGGGAGCAATATATAGAGACTGATATATGGAAGATTGAAAAAGGTAAAAATGGAACTTGTGGAAAACATTGGAAGATTGAGCAAGAAATGTTTTAGATACTGAATGAATTAAACTTCACAGATTGTTCAGCATTTAGTTCTTAGAGCTAGAGAAGGCGGAAGAAAAATATTAACAATAGTATCAATTCAATTTTCCACTGAAGAGGATGCCGCTACAGAAAAAAATGTTAAAATTCCCCTTGATGACATAGAAGCTTTGCAACCTGAATTCATTGCACTGCATCTATACATTAATTGGTCCTTTACTTCTGTGAATTATTAAATAATATTTATTTTATTCAAATATCCTCAATGTTTTTGTTTTATTGCTACTGTCCCCCACCCTAATTCTCCCCACTTATGCTAGGCGTTAGTTCTCACCTTCCTAGGTAGTATGGCTTTTGATTAGAAAAGTATTAGGTATTATGGGCATTGAACTTTGACAAACAGAACGCACTAGACTGCAAATTCTGCCATAAAATCTATAGAATTTATAACAGTTTTGCTGCCTGCTGTTTTTAAACACATATTTCTGTATGATGAAGTTGTAACCTATTGCCTTTATTCTTTCCTGTTGAAATACTGCAGGTGATGTTTTCATCCTTGTATTCAGTTTGGACAACAGAGAATCCTTTGATGAGGTCAAGAGGCTCCAGAAGCAGATCCTTGAAGTCAAATCTTGTCTGAAGAACAAAACCAAGGAAACGGGGGATCTGCCCATGGTGATCTGTGGTAACAAGAATGATCATGGTGAACTCTATCGCCAAGTGAGTTCTGATGAAGCTGAGAAGCTTGTCTCCAGCGATGAGAACTGTGCTTACTTTGAAGTCTCAGCAAAGAAAAACACCAACGTGAATGAGATGTTCTACGTTCTTTTCAGCATGGCCAAACTACCCCATGAAATGAGCCCAGCTCTTCATAGGAAGATCTCTGTGCAGTATGGTGATACTTTCCACCAAAAATCCTTCAGGATGCATAGGGTCAAAGAGACAGATGCCTATGGCATGATTTCCCCCTTTGCTCGTCGACCCAGTGTCAACAGTGATTTGAAATATATAAAATCCAAAGTCCTCAGAGAAGGGCAAGCAAGGGAGAGAGAAAAATGCACAATCCAGTAAAAGAAGCTCCATTGAGGAGTCCATAGCATATGTGCAGTGCCTTAAAGAAAGTGGCTGAACAAAGACAGTCTGAAAATATTTACTGAGTCATGGGTGACAACTACAGTCATCAAAATACTTTGACTAGAGCATTGTACCATTTCTGTAAAGATATAAATAAATTAAAACACAGCATTGTAAATACTTGAAGCTGCTATGGTAGATAACTGCCATACACAGCCCTTATTATTTGGTCTTTTGGTTTTTGTATTTTTTTAACAGAAAAAAAAACCTTTTTAGTTTTCTCTTTTTGTTTTCCTTTGTTTCAAGAACCTTTAAAGAACAAAAAAATCTGAACTTCAATTTTATACCAAAACAGTTAAAAGATAGGCCTGATTTGTACAAGTTTCTTGAGTAGCCATCATGCAGGAGACAATCTGATAACAAGATGAAAATTGGCTGTTGTTTTCCTCCAATTCCTCATCTGAAGAAAATTCAAACATTTTGAGGAAAATGTACTTTTTTGTGCCAATGATAATTCTTCATCGTGTCAATACAAATACTACATTTCTTTACTGTTTCAATTTTTCTCTGTTTTTTGCAAATGACAAAGTGTTTGTTTTAATTAATATGTGAATTAATTGGCAAGTATGATCTAGAAATATCAGCTGATTTTCAGTTACATGATATGTAAATAATTGAAATTTCTGTACTGTAAGAACCAGCATACCTGTTTCATGTGATTTTCTGTTCCTAGAAATCCATATATTTGGAAAGTTTTATTGTACACTCATCCAAATCCCATTCATTTTTATTCCACAATAATAATCCTGCTTTCTACTATACTGGTAATAATGACATTGGATGTGCAATGCCAGGTGTTATGCTCTATCCTCCAACTTTCTCACATAAAAGTTGTAAACCTGTGGAGATTAATCTGAGAGTAAGCCGAATTGAATTTAGTAGAACTTTATATAAGTACACATGAGGTTATAGTATAAGACTCTAGGCCAGTGTAGACTGAAAATGGGACTAAAATCTTAAGCATTCTTAGCTGAATAAAGCTTGCACTTTGTAGATCACATGCTTAAGATTGAGCATGTTATTATTAAACAATGATATTTATTTCTCACTAAAAATATCTGGCCAGCAGCTACATTTTTCCCATGTTCAAATGGCTGAGAAGTTTCTAGTGCAGCTATTTATTTGCAAAGTGAAGGTTCAGAGTTTAAATTTAACACGACTGTCTTCCATGTCCATTGTCCATGTACCACAGTACTGAGTGCACCATAATACAGAGTGAGCAAGAGCTTATATACTTTTATAATAAAAACTTAGCTTTTCTTTCCTCAACCTGCTGCCTTTAGATCAGTTGGGTCTATCTGGAATTCCTTCGCCTTTGCTTGGAATTAGTCTAAAACATCTGGAGGGAAACAAGTTGAAGATATCTGATGTAGCTATCTCCAATTTTCTTTTTTAAAAAAAAACCAACCTTAATATTGGTGGATTTCTTCCAGTCAAATCTATTTACCAGAATGCTTGTGAAGAAAAAGAGCAATGTCAGAATCAGCTTGGTTTGTTACTAAAAGCCTACTTGATTATCTTATCTGACGCTTGAATAATCCTTAGTATCTATAGTATCAATGTGAATAGGAATTAGATTTTGTTCTGAGCCAGCTGCCTAAATGTCTTTCCTCCTTTCCCGAGTTCTTTTTCTCTCTCTTTTTTTTTCAGATATGATAATTCTCAGCTTATAATGGTCATATATCAGAACAGAACTGAATTTTGCATATCTCAGAATTATTAAGAAGGTTTGAATAGGGAGATATTGTAGGAAATAATGGGGGCACAATTGTGCTAGCCCAGTTCCCTCCTGCCCCATCAGTCTCAATGATGTGATGCCTTCCTTCCTTCCTTCCTTCCTTCCTTCCTTCCTTCCTTCCTTCCTTCCTTCCTTCCTTCCTTCCTTCCATCCATCCATCCATCCATCCATCTTTCCCATATACTAATAGACATTTTTAGAAAAATTACCTCAGACATGAATGTGTACTGTAATGTATGTGGTTGTGTATACACACACGTGCCTAGCAGGAAGAAGAGACACTTCAGTCTCAGTAGTGTTAACCTACTGTCCACAATGTAGATTTCTAAAATGTTCTACCAGCCCTTGACTATATCACACCTCTGTGTAATATTATACCTCATACACTGTATATATGTGAATAGTACTGTGTGCTTTAGTTGGCATTGCAAGCTTTACTCGCATGAGCAAAAGTTCACTCTGACATCTAATAATTAAGTAATGTAATGTTCTTGGGGGACAAAATGGTCTCCCATCTACTTGTTTGTTATATAAAATTCAATATTGTTAATTTCCTAGTACTATTTCAGCCATTTATGTCATTTTGAAAAGATTCTGCATTTGTATAGATGTTTTTCTCTCTCTTTTTCTTTCGATAAATGTGATTTATTTATTAACTGTGTCTGGACTGGTTTATTTTTATAAAAATGTGATCAGGTAGCTGATTTGCTCTGGATGGCAAGCTGTTTAATAGTAAATTATTATGCATTGAATCACATAATTTATAGATGTCTATAAGAGGGCAAGTGACAGCTTACATATTTGCATAAAATTGTGATGCTAAATTGTGTGATTCTGTGCCATCCTACGTATCATTGCAATATATTATGGGTGCTACTGACACCATTGCTCTAATACAGATTCATAGGAATATTTCAGTTGAAATTAATGGATGGATTTTCAACAACAGAAAAACAATTTTCCTCACTATAGACATTATAAGGTTTGTTATCAAAGAGAAACCCACAGCCATATAAATGTAATAATTAATTTAAATAAATAGTAAAATAATAGTATTTTACCACCATAGGAGTTAATGCTGGCCAAAGGCATTGGGAGTTTCCATCAAAGCAAACAAGGTCAATCCTGACTGAAAGATAACTTTGGAAATAGAAATTTTGCTTCTGGAGAACCAGACAAATTTGTCTGAGGCAGCCCAAAATCTGAAGACAATATGACAATAGATACCTTGCCCTGGTTTCTGTAGCAACCAACATTTCCTAAGCTAATTCCACAAAATGATGACTACACCACCAGTCATGCTTGCAGGAGAAGAAAAGCAGGAATATTGGAATCTGCCCCATGTCTTTTATCTACTGCCCATTAGAATGACTTCAGACATCTCACATTAATGGAGGAACAGAAAGGATAATGTTTATTTCTTTTCTCTTCCTTGCTGCTATTATGTCATAATCACCTGAAGCTATTCTTACAATTATTGCTACAATTCCTAATTAACATGATCTATCAATTGCAATTATATTAGTAAGTGTTACATGAAACAGAATCTACAGAGCCTAAGAGGCCACAAAACGAATGAAATTGGGGCTAGGGGAGATGGACTCCCCCCCTTTATTTTATGGTATTAAATATTACTTGGTTCAGGTAATGGCCATATCCACTTATATGGGGAATGTGTCAGTCCAGGAGCAAAAGGATTTGAGTTCAAATTCACAGTCAGCAACGACTGTCTTTTGTCTCACTCAACATTAAAGTATTTGAGAGATGTATAACCTTGTGTAATGAGCTGAGATCCCCAGAAGAAGGGTGAGATTAAAAAAGAAATGTCTTGCAGATAGAAAATAAAGATCCTTTATTTGAGTCACATTGTCTGTGGTTTCCTATTTCTCATTTGTTCATTTGTGTTTGCTTACTGCACATTTGTTTGAGAATTTTTCTGAGAAAAATCATAGTACAAAATTAATATCTCGCTTAATATATACAGGTAGTCCTCAAACTAAGACCACAATTGAGTTCAAAATTTCTGTTGCTAAGTAAGACAATTGTTAAGTGAATTTTGCCCCATTTTATGACCTTTCTTGCCACAGTTGTTAAATGAATCTCTGCAGTTGTTAAATTAGTAACAAGGTTGTTAAGTGAATCTGGCTTTCCCATTGACTTTGCTTGTCAGAAAGTCGCAAAAGGTGATCATATCACCCTGGCACACTGCAAATGTCATAAATATGAATCAGTTGCATATGAATTTTGATCACATGACCATGGGGATGCTGCATGAAAAACAGTCATAGTCACTCTTTTTCAGAACCATTATAACTTTAAAAGGTCACTAAATGAACTGTTGTAAATTGAAGACTACCTGTATTTATCTTATATTAATATTTTCACTAATACATAAGTTCTATAACTTATTAGTTTAGGAGCCCTGGTGGTTAGAACACTGTCAAAACTGACTCCATAGTTGCCTGCACTTGCTTTCACTCACAGTTTGCCAGTCACTGGAGGAGGATGGTGAATTCCTATGGGAGGGGGAGGCTAGGGAACGCACAAGAGCCTTCTGTTGCCGACGAGACGTTATCCACCAAGGTCAAGTTATGAAAAATACTGTAGTGGTGCAGACAGTTTTTCTCCAAACAAAAGAACTGAACTCGGTGAACTATGAACTGTGGGTGGCTGGGAAAGGAAAAAGGGGTTTTACCTATGTGGGTTTTTGTGAGAAAATCCCAGAACTGGCATGCCTAGATGGAACTTTCAATAAAGCTACATTCTTGATCATTCGAAAGAGCCAGGAATTTCTTTTGTTGAATGTGCCAAATGGGACGGTTGATAAACGCAGTATTACAGGCTAATTCTGCTGACTGCCAACAGTTCAATTCTCATCTGTTCAAGGTTGACTCAGCCTTCCATCCTTCCGAGGTCAGTAAAATGAGGAGCTAGATTGTAGGGGGCAATATGCTGACTCTGTAAACCACTTAGACAGGGCTGTAAAGCACTATGAAGCAGTAGTGCATCTGTTAAAAGATTGCTAACTTTGCTTTAAAAGGAAAGGCAAATGAATTTCTCTTTCTCTGATAGATAGTTTAAGAAGTATGCACATTAAAAAGTGCTGGGCAGAGGAACAACGAGTGCCAAGAAAAAGTATTATATACAGTTATCTCCCAGATCTTACTAAGAAATCTTTGTTGAAGCCTTTATTAACAGT